ACTTTAAAGACTCCCTCCTCCTGTTACCAGCGCATTGGGTTCTTGTTGTCCCCCGGGATAGAAATCAAGAGAGATGGCAAAGAGAGATGGGAGTAGAAAAGTAAAAGTTTATTAGCTTGTGTACAAGGGAGGCACAAGGGAGACGGTGCGGAAAGGAAAGGGGCAGGTGACCATCTTGTTAGGGAGCCGGACTGTGGGGCTTTTATTAGGCAAAGGCTGGGGAGGAGTGCCTTGTCATGGTGTGTAGAGGTGGGGTTGTGCTTGCGCTTGTGCTGTTTGACATGCCGCCACATGTGTTGCACGTATCATTAGCATGCTAGCTCTCCACCCCTGGGTGTGATTTTTACTACAGTAATGGGGCTAAGGTCACCTTCAGCCAACTCCTGGGTGCTAGGGTGCGTGCATAAGCCCAGGAAAGTCCGGAGGCTGTGGAAGGTGGATCTTGGTGGTCTCTCTCTGATTCTCTTAGCTTGCCGATTGATTAGGGGCCTTATCTTGCTAGGCCAGGGGCCTTGCAGACAACCCTATTTCATTAGGCCGGTGCCTGTCTCACTCCCATCAACAATTTTAAAAGCAAGACTTCTGATTATTTGAGGATTAATTAGTTTTGTTTTCTGTTTTCGTTCTTTGGCTGAGAAAGACTTGCCCTAAGCTAACATCCATTGCCAGTCTTCCTCTTTTTTTTTCTTTTTTTACTTGAGGAAGATTGTCCCTGAGCTAACATCTGTGCCAGTCTTCTTCTGTTTGGTCTGTGGGTCACCATCACAGCATTGCTTGACAAGTCATATAGGTCTGCGCCCAGGATGTGAACCAGTGAACCCCGGGCCACCAAAGCAGAGCCACAGAACTTGAACCACTCAGCCATGGGGCCCGCCCCAAGGATTAATTAGTTTGTAAAAGATCAGTGACTTGTCTAAGTCATCTGAGCTCATTGAAAAAAATGGGCTATAATTCTCTTGGGTTGATTCCCCCCTCCACCCCCCCACCCCCCAGGCACCTAAATGGGAATAGGCAGGATGGGATAGTGAAGAGAGGCAGGGACTTGCAGACCAGGCTCAAGGGCACAGCTCTGCTGTTCACCTGCTCCTGATGGGACATGTTGTGGCTCTGACCAGGTTTCCTCAATGGAACATGGTACGGATTGGACACTCTCACATTTTTTCCAACCCTGAAGTTTAATATTCTTTCCTCAGCATTCTGATCTCCTCGTGGGCAAAAACTTTCTTTACTTAGTGTTTTCTAGCACGTATTGATCTCAGTGAATGTTTCCTGAATAAGCATGGCCAAGAAAACGGGAGTGTTGGCCTTGCCCCTAGAATTGCTGGGGGTGGTGGGGTCAGCTGGGGCTGCGTGGTGGAGGGGGAGTTTGTGGTGGTGGTGGTTGTGGCGGGGGTTGGGGTGCAGAAGTGGTGGTGGTGATGGTGGTGGTTCTTATGCAGGTTGGTGATTCTTAGACAGTTTTCTTTCATGGTAAAGAAAGTGTTTTGTTCTTCAAGGTGAGGATACCATAATTCCCCAAAATAATTTGGCTCAATTTAGTGTCATGTACTTACATTGTATCACTTTATAATGTAGATTCCCTCACAGAAACTTGTTTCTGTTTTCAAAGATCTTCTGCTTCACTATGGGGGCTCTGGATAACAATCAGTTGAATTATTTGAACATGAATTCTGAATATTTGTCCTTAAAACTTATAAAAATTAACTGTCACAATATATAACACAGTATGCATTTGGAGTAATGTCAAAAGTACATTTTTTCGTGAATTGTTAAAGTTATGTTCTGTTTATGAAAAGTGAGTTTCTCTAGTGCTTTTAAAATGAAAATACTTCTGGTGATTCTCTTTTAGTAGAGGGGAGGGTCTTGAGTCTAGCAGGGTTCATTCATTATTTTTATATAAAGATCACTGAACTTGAAGTCAGATGTCAGCTCTGCCACTGACCTTGGCTGGTTGACCTAGGATAAACCGTTGACCACCAGATGCTGTGAAATGGAGACAGTCTTTCATGGTTGTTGTATGTGGAAGTATCCAGCATAAAACCTAGCGTAATGTAGGCGTTCTATTATTCCTAGCTGAATCTGTCTCTGAAAATAATAGGATAGAGTACATTTTAATTAAGCTAGTTTTATTTGGAAACCTTTAATAAGAATGATTGCACTATAATTACAGTTCAAGATTCCTGGTATACTTAAGAAAAAGAAGACACAAGAAAGTGGCAAACCTTTGTTAGCTCTAAGGAGCTATGACTAAGATTGAAAACTTTCTCATGTTAGGAATTTTCCATTGGGGAAATTAGCTAATTTTTTTTTTTTTTTTAAATATATAAATTTGAAGTTGTGAAAAAGGGACATGAAGGTATGAGAGAAGGCTGTGGCTATTCTGACACTATCGTTGATGTGATTTGTTGCCATCCTGTCATTCACTGTGTGACATAGCCCCCACAGTTGTTTTTTGAGGGGAAGGAGATATAGCTTTCTTGAGATATAATTCACATACCACACAATTCACCCATTTAAAGTGTCCAATTCAGTAATTTTTAGCATATTCACAGAGCTTCCAGCCATCACAACAATAAATTTTAGAACATTTTCATCACCCCAAAAAGAAACTATACCCTCCCTCTGTCTCCATTTTTCTCTAATACTCCCAGCTCTAGGCAACCACTAATCTGTCTTCTGTCTATAAAGTTGCCTATTCTAGACCTTTCACATAAATGGAATCATATAGTATGTGCTCGTTTGTGACTGGCTGCTTTTACTTAACATGTTTTCAAGGCTCATCCATGTCGTAGTATCTATCAGTACTTCATTCCTTTTTATTGTCCAATAATATTCCATTGTATGTGTATACCATATTTATTCATCAGTTGATGGGCATTTAGGTTGTTTCCTCTGTTTGACAATTATGAATAATGCTACTGTGAACATTTGTATACAAGTTTTTGTGTGGACATAGTGTTTTCATTTCTCTTGAGTGTGTACCTAGGAGGGGAATTGCTGGGTCATGTGGTAACTCTATGTTTAACTCTTTGAGCAACTGCCAAACTGTTTTCCAAAGCGGCTGTGCCATTTCACATTTGTACCAGCAGTGTAGGAGGATTATACATCTGGGTTATACATCTTTCCTGACACTAGTTATTATGTCTTTTGATTCTAGCCGTCCTAGTGGGAGTGAAGTGGTATCTCATTTGTGGTTTTGATTTGTATTTCCCTGATGCCTAGTGGTGTTGAGTATCTTTTCGTGTGCTTATTGGCTATTTGTATATTTTCTTTGGAGAAATGTCTGTTCAGATCCTTTGCCCACTTTTTAATTGAGTCATTAGTCTTTTTATTATTGAGTTGTAGGAGTTCTTTATATGTTCTAGATACAAGCCCCTTATCAGACAGGTCCCTTATCAGATGTACAAATATTCCCAAAAGTTTTTATGCCTTCAATACATAATTATAATAACCATCCTGATTGAGTCCCTAATCTGGGTTAAGCCCTGCACTGCAAACTGTGTATGGATTTTTTCTTTTGATCTTCATAATAACCCAGAAATATAGGTCATATTATCCTCAGTTTACACATGCAAAAACGGAGGCCCAAACAAGTTAAAGAACTAGCCTACGGCCAGCCCCATGGCTTAGTGGTTAAGTGCGCGCACTCCGCTACTGGCGGCCCGGGTTCAGATCCTGGGCGCGCACCGACGCACTGCTTCCCGGGCCATGCTGAGGCCGCGTCCCACATATGGCAACTAGAAGGATGTGCAACTATGACGTACAACTATCTACTGGGGCTTTGGGGGGAAAAAAAAAGGAGGAGGATTGGCAATAGATGTTAGCTCAGAGCCAGTCTTCCTCAGCAAAAAAAAAAAAAGAGGAGGATTAGCATGGATGTTAGCTCAGGGCTGATCTTCCTCACAAAAAAAAAAAAAAAAAAGAACTAGCCAAGGGTCAATTAGTAGTTAACTGCCTAATGCGAGAGTCACACCTGGGCCTAAAAGTATGCCCAGGCCTGCTGCGCTGGGACTCAAAGCTGTGCATGCCCCTCTGCTCAAGCTTGGAGGCTGTGTGAGTTCCCGGCATATTCATATCGTGCCCACTCTTCGAGGGTCAGGCTTGACCTCTCCTGTCTCTTAGTCCTTATGTCCATACTCTGCTCTGAGTTCTTCATTATGTGTACTGCACAGTCTACTTTGTGCTGGTTCTTTGGTTATTTTATGTTTATGATGTAGATAGACAAGATAGAGAAATATTGTTCATAGAGAGGCCTTAGCTTAGTAAAAACAAGGTTGAATTTAAAAACTCTGGTGGAAGTTACAGAGGATTATTTTTGCCTTTATGTGAGAAGAAATTTCTAAGCAGCTAAAGCTGTCCATCAGTGGAATCACCTACCTGGTGAAGAACTTTCCAGAACAGTATGTATTCAGGCAACATCTCTCAGGATGTTGAAAAATGCATTTCCACCTGGGGTGAGGAGCTGGACCTTGAGGCCCCTTCCACACTGGAGAAGGGCTTGTCCCCTGCCAGAGCCAACAGATAATACAACTGTAGAACAGCGTAGTGCTTTCTCCTATGCTCTGGCTTCAGGTTTTGTTTTTATTTTTAAGTCTGAATAAACATATTGCTAAACTCTTGGAAATTAACAAGGTAAAGATGTCTTTATCCTTCACAATTTAATCTCCTTTGAAAAATGTACTTCTGATTTCTCAGACTGACATAAAACTTCAGTTTTCATGTGTGGAAAAGACTATAGTTAAGGGTGTAGGCTGTGGGGTCAGCCAGATCTGTATTTGAGTCTCAGTTATGTGGCATCCTTGCCATGTGACCTTACTTTCATATGCCTCATCTGGAAATCCGAGATAATATCATTTCCTTTGAGCAGCTGTTAAGATTCTGTTACGCTTACCTGGCACATAGTAAGTGCCTATTAAATGTCTGTGATTTGAGGGCGGGAGGATTAGGGACATGGATGGTTATTATGGTAAAACTTAACCTCGTTTTAAAATTTTTCTTAGAGGAAACACGAGAATAGAAGAGGCTTGTGAAATGTATACCAGAGCTGCAAATATGTTCAAGATGGCTAAAAATTGGAGTGGTATGTATAAAGTTTTTGTTTGTTTGCTTTTCAGGTAAATAATATCATTTTGAAGGAGGAAATGACTGTCTGCATTTCCCTTAGAAAAAGACTTCTGGCTCTGAGACAGGTATCAGTGCTGAATAACTGGTGTGGTCACTGTGGGCTGGGAGAAAAGGACCTTCATCTAAATGAACAAAACTTGAAATCCTGACTAAAGTTTAAACATAGAGACCATTTCTGTTTTAGTTTCTATAAACCACTTAATACAGTAGGTATGTGGTAATTAAAAAGAGTTAAAATTACTTGAAATTAGGAAGAATAATCTTTGCTTCTTCTTAATGTGCTCAAATAAATCCAGTACCATAAGGAATGAAAATCATAGTAAAACTCATTGAAAACAAGTGGGGTAAATAGAAATGCCTGCTTTTCTTTACCTAAACATTGGTTGAGAATATCTAACCATTCCTTACTCTGAGAACAGCTCTGTGATAACTGATTGTGGTTCCATTGAGAAATGTGATGGGGGGGTGTTATTTATATAAACCCCACAAGATTTGTCGTCATTTTTCAAAGTAATACTTTCTACTCAGTGAAATTACACATGAAAAAATCAACAGAATTATTCTTTTTATTGGTCTGAGAGGGGATGGCTCTTTCTAACACTGATTTGAGAAACAAATTCATCCCTTTCCCCTGGAAAAAGAGGCTTATCATGGCTCAGTGAGAGGGTATTTCTGTATGAAAATGGAGAGGACTTGCAACCAGCGCAGGGATGGGTCTCTAGCCGGGCCTGCACCTGCTGCATGATCTAAAGCTGGGCCCTTGCCCGCTACGGGGCCTTTTCCTCATTGCTTTTTTTTTTCCCCAGCCTCATTGGGATATAACTGACACATAACATTGTGTAAGTTTAAGGTGTACAATGTGTTGATTAACCCATTTGGTTTTAAGGCTGACACTTTAAAATCATTTCAATGAAGAAAATGCTGTTCAACTAGATGAATCTGAAAGGTGCTTTCTGGCTCCAAAAGTCTTTTTATAGGTTGAATTTTAGGTAAAAAGGATATGTTATGTTTTTAAAATGCACTTACCTGACTTGTATTGAAAAAAATGGAGGAGAAAAGAGTATTGTCTCAGCATTCCCATCTTTTGTTCAGTTCTGGTAATCATAGGTAAAAAGTGATCTTATCTAAAAAGACCACTTATCTATTTTATCTGGTGACCAGATGTTCTAACCTTTGGAAATTCCATTTTGGAGGGGCCATTAATATTTGTATAACCGAGGAGGCTCTGTATGTACCCCCCACCCCAATCATCTCTTGCCTGGACTGACATCTCCATGCTTCTGTACTTTTCTAGTTTGTTTTAATGAAGAAACCAAAGTAATCCTGTTAAAACATAAGTCAGATCATGTCATTTCAAATAAGAGCTCAAGTCCTTGACAGTGGCCTTCCAGGACCTACCTGATCTCCCCAATCCCTTCCGGTCTCTAACCTCATGTCCTGCCCACTCCCTTGGTTCACCCAGCTCCCTGCTTAGAGCCTGTGCACGTGCTCTTCCGTCTCTCTGGCACTCTCTTCTCCTAATAGAGCATGGTTAGTTCCCTGCTCCTTTCAGGCCCTTCTTCAGAGGTTATCTTCTGTGTGAGGTCTTCCCTGGTCAACCCTTTTAAAGATAGCAATCTTCTCCTTCCTGGAAACCCCTTTCCCTTTTCTCCAATGTCTTTATCACCATCTAGCAAAAGTAGATGAAATACATTTATTCATTTATATTGTTTATGTGTTTTTTATTATGTGCTGTCCCTCACTAGAATGTAAACCTTAGAAGGCCGGGATGTTTTTGTGTTTCTTTTCTTCTATACTTGCAGCTCCTCGACTAGTGTCTGCAACACAGTAGATGCTCATGATATTTGTGTAGTGAGTGAATAAATACTAGGTTCTTTAAAATTACTTCCTTGTTGCAATGATGGTGATGATACCACCACTGCATCTCTTTATAGTTTTAAAAGTTGTTTTATAAAGATTAAGCTAATTCACATGGTATTCAGCTTTTGAGAGATCATCCTGGCAGATATTAGACCAATTTTACCGTCGAGGAAATTGAGCCTGATAAGTGGTGTGACTCTAATTTAAAATACGCTCCTTTAAAGATGCTTCCGAGATTGAGCTGGCATTTGTTAGCAGTGACTGGAATGAGTGCTCAGAGTGAGAAAATAAGCCAGCAGTTAGTTTTGGAAGGCGGAATCACGAAATTGCCACGTTAAAGCTCTTAATATTGTCTGGGGAAATGGAGCTAGCCCGAGAGAGCCTGGATGTTGTGGTATTACACTCAGTGAGGAATGGATGTACCATGATTGCTTCTGGGATAGTCAACACAGATAAACTATGTAAAATGAAATACTGGTGGAAGAGGGATGACATTTAAACATGCCAAACCACAGGTATGATCTAAGGATAGATTTGCATGTAATGATGAGAATGGCTAACATGCGTAACTAGAGCCAGGCTATTCTAAGTACTTTACTTGGGAGGTCCAAGTTATTACTACACTCTTCTGAGGCAGAGCCCATCAGAACCGTGATTCAGCTGGTACATTCCTGAACTGCCACTTGGAAGTTAGCTGCTGCCCCAAGTACCCTGGGTGCCTGTCCACTACCCTGGCAGCGGCCTTGGCCCCTCCTCTGGGACTCCCAACCTCATGGTTCACCAATGTAACGGTTAAAGCCTGGCAGGCAGGGGTTCTCCAGTCCCAGCTCCAGCTGGGGGCCAGTGTCCTCTCTGGTTGGTCAGTGCCTGTGCCATGCTGGTGGTTAAATATTATCAAAACTGCCTGAGCACTGTTTTTATCTTGCACAGAACAAGAATTGAATCTGGGCAGGCTGGCTCGGGAGTTTGTCCTGTCTGTTTTTCCTCAGATAAACCCAGAAACCTGAATGGGAATTATGGGTTACCTCTGGAGAGGGGTTGGGACAAGGGATGGCAGCTGAAGCTTTAGTGGAATTGAGTGCTTTATATCTTAAAAAGAAATTTAAAGTAAATGTTTAATACCAGCAGTGGGTACTTAGGTGTCTATCACTATTTTCTGTACTTTTCTGAATGTTTATGACAAATTTTTTTTAAGTACGAAAGGTTTTGTGATATCCTTAATCGTGCTTTTCCTAGTGGAGCAAATTCTTTCCCCTCCATTCCTGTTGGTACTAACTTCCCTATTCCAGACCTTACTGAGCTGCGTCTCCAGAGGCCTCCATGCTCCCCGGTCTGGGGGGCTCATTTTTCGGAGGACTGCCATGGTGTTCTCTGAAGTGAGAACCTCGCGATGAAGTGGATTCATCCTCATCCTCGTTTCTCGTGTTGACATTTAAAGCCTCCCTGACGGGCCTGGCGCGTCTTCAGCCTTCAATTCCATTGCCCCAGCACGTTCATTCCTCCTCCTACAGGCAGCACAGGCTTGTCACTCGCCTCCAGTTCTAGCCCTTTCTTGCCTTCAAGCATTTGTTCCCTGTTCATGTGACTCCTCTGCTAGGGATTTCTTCCCTCATTCTTTCCTGCTACTCCAGAATCCACAGTCCTTGATCCAAAACCTTTTCTGAAAAAATTTAGTGCGTAAACTTGCATGTTGTGCTGTGTCCCAGCAGAGACCTGGGCAGCACCCCGTAACCAAACCCATCTGTAGTTCTGTGGGGCAGTGTGCGAGTGTTCACACGAAGTGAAATAAAGACAGGTTAAACCTCATATAAATTTCAATCAGATTTTGTTATGAACTTAAGAAAAAACTTCGTATGGGCCTAATTTTCACTCTTTGAGAAATTTACTTTGTCCATGAAGCCTTCATTAGCAATTTCTTCAACAATGACAACTAAGTTCAGTGGACACTGTAAGATAGAAAGACAAGCAAATAAATATCCTTGACCTCAGTGTTTTACTTTCTTTAAACATTTGTACCTTGAAGCCCCCAGTCAGTGTTTAGTGTATGCTGGGGAACAGAATGGAACAGCCCGGGACTTGCCTTTGGCTGTTGAATGGAGGCCAGGTCTCCTGGAGCTGAGAGAAGCTTTTATCACTGTTTGACTTGATTCTGGTTGTTTTTATATACATCTAAGATGCCCTTGATCACATTTACTGTGCTTCTGACTAGAATGCTTCTTTTCAGTGAACTGGAACTTTCCTAGGAGTAGGTCCAGCACTTAGAGCATGGGTCATTCTGTGGGAATACTTGTTCCTCTGTGTTTAATTTTAGTAATTTATCTTCTTCAGCTGCAGGAAATGCGTTTTGTCAGGCAGCCAAGCTCCATATGCAGCTTCAGAGCAAACATGATTCTGCTACCAGCTTTGTGGATGCTGGGAATGCTTACAAAAAGGCAGACCCTCAAGGTAAGGCACGCCTCCGTCTCTGCATAACTAGGACAGTAGGGCTGATGTTGGTGACCTTTTCCACAGGTGACACTGCTGGACCTTTGAGTCCTGGTAAAAATAAATTTTTGCACTTTGGAATAACAGAGATTTTGGTAACTTTAGGGATTTTTCTTTAATCAATTGGAGCTTTTATGAGAAGAAAATATATTAAATTTATCCTGGCTGTTTAGTGGTCAACACTATTTTCTTAAACTCCATTTATGTTGCATTTTGGAGAATTTTTTGGAAATTGGCTTTAATTTTATCTAAGACTTCTTCTCTCTTAATTTTATGAATGTGTATATTGCTCATTAAAAGAAGCTAATGTTCCCTTACTCCTAAGTACCTGAGTACCTGGTGTGTTGTAAGATCCAGTTAATGGGAGATTGTAATATCGAATAGTTAAAAACAACTTATTCAGACAGTATTTATCTGAATTTTTAAAACATGTTTTTCAAAGAATTGGTTTTGAGGAAAGAATGAACTTGGGTATTTAAAATGTTAAAATTTTGCAAATAGTATTTCTTTCTTAGTTAGAGGACTGTACACTTAATGATTAAAAGCATGAATTTCTTCTTCCCTTCCACACATGGCACTGGTAGCTATGGAGTCTCCCTTTTTCTTTTTAGCAGTCCATTTTAACACAGAAATCTCAACTTTTATGAATATATCATACAGAAATAGATATTTCAAGGGCTAATCACAGTTTATTTCCAAATGTGAAAAACAGGACACAGCCTAAATGAGCAGTAAGAGTAGAATGGCAAAATTATAATCCATTATGCAAACATTAAAATCCCTGGTTTCAGAGAATCTTCAATGACCTGGTAAATGCTCACATGGTAACTAAAGAACCACATGAGAATTGAGACCTCAAATTCATGAAAAAGTTTTTGCACACAGAATTGCATCCAGAAAACAGTGGAAGGAAAAGTACGTCAAAATACTAACAGCGGGTTTGAGTGGGGTTGTGGATAGCTTATTTTTTTGTTTCTCTGTTTTTTGTTTTTTGTGTTTTTTTTGCTGAGGAGAATTCACCCTGAGCTAACATCCGTTGCCAGTCTTCCTCTTTTTTTTTTGCTTGAGGAAGATTAGCCCTAAGCTAACATCTGTGCCAATCTTCCTCTATTTTGTGTGTTGGTTGCTGCCACAGCATGGCTGACAAGTGGCATAGGTCCATGCCTAGGCGTAGGTCCCAACCTGCGAACCTGGGCTGCTGAAGCAGAATGCGCTGAATTTAACCGCTATGCCAAGGGGCCAGCCCGTTTCTCTGAATTTTTAAAGGTGTAACAATGAATCCACATTTCTTATATAGTTTAGGAGAAAATTGCTTTTACTTTTTGTTAATCTACTTACTTTTCTAGTTCTTCAGTCAGGCCTTTTCACTTTGCTGCCTTTTTTAAAGGAAAAGCAGTAAACTTGGAGCTGTCAACCATGTGCTAGCATTTTAAACACCACCATTTTGTGACAAGAAATTTGTTGGCTCGATGTTTTAGAAAATTAATATAATTTATTAGCACTATTCATTTATTAGCTTTTTTTCTTCCTTCCTACACCAAATGTTAAAAGCATCTTTTAACATTGTACAAAATGTTGACTTTGCTTAAGAGTTGTCTGAACAGGGATTTCAAAGTGCTTTTGATTTTGGCTGTATGAAGCGTAGTCTATTGGAGTGATCTTTCTTGTGAAGTACTATCTTCCAAAATTAATGTATATACGTGATATCAATGAAGAATGTATTTACGTTTATGTTTTAGCAGATATAGCTGATCAGTGTTGATGACACCCCCATGGTTTTGTCTTCTTATAATGCAGTCTTTCCCCTGGATGGAGTCCTCACTGTCAGGTTAAGAGTAACTGAGCCATACCGCTGCAGCTCCAGTTCTCTAAATTGCACTGCAGCTGCTGCGGACAGAGCATGCTGAGGGGTCTGGACTTGTTGGTGATTTGTATTTGCTTCTCACTAACTAACCTGCCCACCCTCTGCCCCTAATGGGGCCTCCTTAACATTCTAGTAACAGCCAGGAAGACAGGCTCACCTGAACCCTCTTTGACTGAATGGATTTTTCATTGTTTTTCTTAAATGCCTTCGCTTCAGAGGCTATCAACTGCTTAAATGCAGCCATCGACATTTACACAGACATGGTAAGACATTGCCTTGCTTGAGCGGCTGCTGTGGGGTGGAGTCTTTGAGATGGCTTAGAGTTGTACTTTTTTTTTTTTGGTTTCCGAACTGATTGGCATTTAGATAGATAAAACAGGAATATGACTGTCTTTTTTTTTTCCTCCCCAGGGAAGGTTTACAATTGCGGCCAAGCACCACATTACAATTGCTGAGATCTATGAGACTGAACTTGTAGACATTGAGAAGGTAAAGCAGTGAACGTGATTCCTCATAAACTTGATGCGAAGCAGGTAGATAAAACCCTCCCTTTTCTAGTGTCAGGAGAGAGGGAGAATCTCCCTCTGCCCTTTTCCTTAAGGTTCTTATGGCTGGCCAAATAATTAACAAGACAGGTTAGCAGGAGAAAATAA